AAAATCAACACTGTGACAGATAATTGACAGGTATCATAGAGATTATGGGTTGGGAAGCTAAATATAAATATAAAACGTTACCACCACCTAAACAACGCCTATAATTCCTATGCCCGGCCAGGTATGAAATTCCAAATATATATGAATACCTAGCCTGAGTATCAGGCCTTCAATGAGAATGAATACCTGATGTATTGATGCATTCACTGATACAAATTGACCTGCGAAACTTGAACAGCGAACAGAATAATTAGAGAGAGAAACGACGCTGCCTTCGATTTGACTTGAACCCACGAAGCAGACAGGAAGTACAGTATAAGAGTGCATTAATGCATTCATAATATAACAGGTATCCTAATCCCTGTTCAAGAAACAGCTGACTTCAGGGTTGTGACGTTTTACCTGAAACAATTAAGAAATTTAGGAAAGATCCTTACCTGACGAAGAAATGACAACTGTATTTTTGTTAAGAGCTCTGAAAGTCCAAGACGTGTTGGGTTACCTGTGGTGTCCTAAACCATGATGCAACGCGGCATAATAACATTACGTCACAGTGTTTACAAACGAAGCACAACAATAACAAGACAAAAAAATATCTCATGAAAAACATGCTGGAACTTTAAACAAGTGATAAATATGTTTTCTATCATAAAGAGGCTAGGACAGGGTAAACAAGCTGCCTGTACGAGAGAACATTTAAGCAATGGATCATAAGTAGCTGTGCGTTCATCGAGTTATGGACGAAGCACGAAGAAAAGCGTAAAGAGTTGCACTACGCAAAGTGGAGTGCAACTCTAGCTTTTTTGAGTGCTTAAGCAACCTCCCTAGTGCATCCATAACTCGATGGACGTACAGCTACTTATGATCCATTGCTTTTATAATATAGTCAAGTGAACAAACAAGAAACAAATACAAATTATAGACTGTATTTGTTGATCATGCCATAAATTCTCCTTACGCACCTTGCGTGTGAATGAAAAGCACAAAGGCGCCAAAAACAGAAAAACAGTCGTTTCGGAAATTGCAGCTTTACACTGCATGAAGACTTTTATGACTAAAATAATGGCAAAAATTTAGCTTACCAGGGAATCAAAAATGTTCAAAACTACGGAGAAAGTGATTTTCAACTGTAAGAAGTACATTTCAAATGTTGACATATCTTAGTACAGTAATGCCCGAGAAAATCAATGAAAAACACAGTGGCTGTCTTGGTTGTTGTTGACGATGTTCAAGTTYGTTATCGTACAATGACTTAGCAATGGAAAGCTTCTTGTACACCGATCAAAACTAACTGACTGAACTGGATTAATTTTCTCTGGATAGTATGCTATGTCGGCTTTCCCTCCCATGTGGAGCTTCAGAAAGGACTTCACTGCAGTTGTGAAGCTGCGAAGTAGATGGTGAGCAAGATATTTATAGTTAATTACTTTGGAAATACTTTTGTTGAATAAATACACGATAACAATATCTTTGTATTTGTTTAATCATTGCTAAAAACCCTTTGAATGTAGACACCGACCGACTTGTGGTTTGCTTTGTCTTTTTGGAGTGACGCTCTGACACAATCTTGTCCAGCTCACTGTTTGAAAGTGATGCAAATCTTGACGTTTTATTACTAGGCTGATCAAATGACAACTC